CACAATGATGAATTAATGGAAAGCACTTTTTTGGGTGGCTTGGATACTGGAGCAGATATTTCAGTGATTGCAGCTAGACATTGGCCATCTAGCTGGACCTCTAATCCTACTAATACCTTATTGCAGGGCTGGGTCAATCTAAAAGATTATTGGAAAGCTTTCAACTTGTAAGGTTGAAATGACAGGATCAGAGTGGGCCTTTCACTCCCTGTATTCTTGCTGATCTCCCTGTCACACTGTGGGGAAAGGACATCTTACCAGTTAATTTTGTGCCAATTGGTACAGTCCCTCTCCAGTAGTTATAAATCAAATGCTAAATCAAGGGTACTTGCCAACTCAAGGCTTAAGAAAAAATTCAAGGTAATGTTTCACCCATTCAGCCTCAACCTCATCAGCATAGGCTGGGTTTAGGTTATGATTCCTCTTTCCCTTCGGCCAGTGATGAGTTCTCTAGCTCAAAACACTACAGATAAAATAAAATGGTACTCTGAAGAGCGTCTGGGTAGATCAGAGGCCCCTTAATAGGGAGAAGCTAGAAATAGCACATCAATCGGTAAATGAGCAGGGCCTATCTGTCCCACCAATAGTTCATGGAATACTCGCATATTCATTATTTTAAAAAATCTGCTGGTAAGTATAGATTATTACAGGACTTAAGAGCTGTCAACAAGGTTATGGAACCCATGGGACTTTTTGCAGCTCAGGCTACCTTCATCCACTGGAATCACTTTATATTTTAAAAATGATAGTCATAAGATTTAAAGGATTGTTTTTATACTACAGCATGATTGTGAATGCTTTGCATTTACCATACCAACATGATTTACGTGCCTGAAACCCATCTGTACAATGTTAGATCTGCCTGGGAAAAAATGACCCCTTCCCCATTGTTCTTCTTGGGTGCACACATGACTCCTTCCCAAGAGCCCTCCCCATCCCCAAGCATTTCTAACCCACATAAGTGGCCCACCTGGAGGCAGTGGGAGACACCCCAAGCCCTGAGGTCTTGGCTGAGGCCACTTCTCCCGCCCTTTCCCTATGTATCAGTCTCCATGGTTAGTTCTGCCTTTTCTTGTTTTGCTCCTGGTACCCATGCAGCCTTTCCCTTGCCCCTTACTCCGCTTCCCTTTCCATTCGCTTCACCTGCATCCCTTGCTCCCCCTCACACCCTCCATCTTGTGTAGGCCAGTAGGATGCTTTCCCTGCAATAAACTCTTTCTGCCTGAACCACATGATGGTCTCCTTCAGCTGAACCTTATATAAATCACCTTTACAATAAAATTAAAAAGAAAAAACAAGTAGATTCCCCAGTTGCCAGGGTAATCAATTCCAGTAAGTCACAAAGAGCTCAACAAAATCACTCCATTTTTTCATCAAAATGCTGCTTTTACATAAACAGTTTTGGATCACTTGAGAAAAAGCTAGGCAAATCGTTTTTTTTTAAAAAAAATTCCCTTGATTCATTGTTCACCAGTCTATTCCCCAAGATGGCTTCAATCTGGAAGGGCTCAGCCCTAATGCTATATGGCAAATGGATGTAACTTCATGTCACTTCCTTTGGAAAACAAAAATTTGTATTTGTTAGCACACTTGTTCAGGTTTCATTTTTGCCTGTCCCAAAATAGGAAAGACTGCCAGTCATGGTATTTTTCATCTTTTGGATGCTTCGGTGCCCCTTGCCATATAAAAAATGATAACAGACCTGCTTATCCTTCCACAAAGTTTGCTAATTTGTGCTCTAGCTTTTGCATTGCTCATACCACAGGCACTCCTTATAATCCCCAAGGTCAACAACAGTTGAACGTAATGGCATGCTAAAGCCTCAAATAGAAAAACTAAAAGGGGGAGCTGGGGCAGGAATTGTCTTTTCACCTTCCAAGATCCTTCATTTGTTGCTCTACACTTAAATTTCTCTTTTATATTTTTGTCGGTCCTGGGGCTTGAACTCTGGGCCTGCGCACTGTCTCTTAGTTCTTTAGTTCAAGACGAGCGCTCTATGACTTGAGCCACAGCGCCACTTTTTTTTATTGGAGATAAGAGTCTCACGGACTGTCCTGCCTGGGTTGGCTTTGACCCACGATCCTCAGATCTCATCCTTCTGAATAGCTAGGATTACAGGCATGAGCCACCAGCGCCGGGCCATTTAAATTTTTTAAAAAATATTTGTAGTGAAGGCTTGACTGCAGCTGAAAACTATTAGGACATTAAGCCTCTGGATGCTGGTCCTATGGTCTTATGGAAGGATACTGGACAATGGATGGGACAGCATAGGTTGTTAGTGTGGGGTTGAGGGTAATCTTGTGTTTTTCTAGAAGGAGCAGAACAATATGGAGGAGGCAGTGTGCAGCACGGACAGAAAACAACAGTCCATAGAGGGAACCTTTGCCACAGAAGAGGATTTGGGGACCACTGGAAGGTATATTCTTCTCTCTTTTGCTATTGAGAACTATTCAGGTAAGTCCTGCAGGGAATCAAGGGATTTATTGGATATATTTGCCTTCACCTCCAGTCCTTCACCCCACTACTTGACATGCTCCTTTGATTATTGTACCAACTTATGATACCAGGTTGACTGGGGGAACAGCCAGTCATCATGTGCAACCCAAATATAAATCCTTTAATTATTCAGGATTAAGTTCTGGTCCTTCTCTTTGCTTTGGACCCCCTAAGTCTGTCCAGAGGTAAAAGAAATACATAAAAAGGCAAGGCTGGATGATGTCTACTGGGCATGAAAGGGATGAGATAATTCAGTTTGTGGGGGTTAATTTTACTGATGCATTCAATGCCTCTTGGTGACTCACTTTAACTGCCTGTGTTTCTCATGAGATTGAGTATAAGTCATGGACTGCTCCTCCCTGGAGAGATTGTTTACTTCCTTTTGCCTTCCCCTAGACATTCAGCAACTATTCCTTAGTATTATGGTCAACAAACTCTTCCAATACTGCAGATATAGCAATCATGGGTATTTGGGTAATACCAGTACTTAGACTTCCCATTGACCCGTGCAACAGGACTTATGGGAACTTCTCATGGTTATCGATTTAACCAATCTCAATAGCCCTTATTAGAATATGATAGAGCAGAGGCAGATCAAACAGGCATTTATGCCTGTGTATTCCATCCCTGGGTGCTGCTTGTTGTCACCCAGGATGGACAATTGTAGAATGTGACTTGTGGAGATTGTAACTTGACAAATGGCCTCTCTAGCATACGTAAAGGGCAGAACTTTTAAATTTTACACCAGCCACCTTTTGCTATGATTCCTATTAACCTTAGTAACCCTCCATATTGCAAGTTGTTAAAGAGATCCATACGCAACTAGCTAGACATAAGCGAGTAGCCTCACTTGCTGTCTTTGGCGCAGTGTCCTTGGTTATGCATAGAGCTTCTTTTGCCACCTCTGCGGTTACCCTGGCAAATAGCATCCACACCAGCCATGCCATAAACCTATTGGCTCATAATGTGTTTCCAACCTTTGAGACATAGGTTGATTTTGCTTAGAGGGCTAATGGCAGACTAAACATTTTGGAATAATAAGTACTTGTTTTAAGCAATGAATTGAATGCTCTAAAATGTAAACAAGACCTTCTTTGCCATGAAGGGGTAAAATCTAAGCTTTCATTATAGTGAGTCTCAGTAGAATTGGACATGAGTACAGGCTCATTTGCAAGGAATTCAGTCAGCTTCAGAGACTACCTTTTATCTGCAGAAATTTTGCCAAGATATTATTCAGTTACAAAAGATTCATATAGAGGAGTCTTCTCCCACACAAATAGCTGACATGATTTTGCAAAAATTGAAAGGCTTTAAATCCCCTAATGTTATAAAACACTCTGCATGGTATCTAATTGTGATTGGACTTGCAATGATATTTCTTTATTTTGTTCTTATAGTCCTCACACAGGCAGTTGGAAGAAGAATTACTGGATTAAGGATCCAACATCATCTTCATTTGGAACAGCAACAGCAGCTTTAGATAAAGAAAAAGGGGGAGAAGTTGGGAGCCAGAGACATGAGCCTGGTTACATCTGTCCATGGGCAGAGATATGAGTTCTTGGGGCAACAGTCCTGAGCCTTGTCACCCCTGCTCATGGTTTGAAATGGCACTAGCTGATCGGTATAAGGCACAGCAAAAGGATCTTTCTCTCATCTTAACCTTCAAGCTAGACATTGAGCTCAGCTATCTCTAAGCACAGGTCCTCTGTTTCCTGTATTGCTAAAGCTGCAGCACCTGCTGAATGCAACTTGTTTTGAATATTCTGATTTGCCTCTTCCCTTTATGAAAAAACTCTGTGTCAATAAATATGCTGAACCAGAATCTGGACTGTTTTCAGTCCTTCAGCCTTCTGGGTGCTGACAGCCCATCTGGTCCCAGCTTTCTCCAAGGTGGAGAGAGAGAGAGAGCGAGAGAGAGAGAGAGAGTGTCTGCCATTTCAAAACCTGTGTGTGTGTGTGTGTCTGTCATTTCAAAACCACCAAAACATGACCTGACACCGATATATTCAGGTGTGTGCGTGCGTGTGCGTGTGTGTGTGTGTGTGTGTTTTCCTCAATCTCCTACCATCTTCCCTCAGCAACAGCTTGACATGGCTGGTCTGCAGCAATAAGCAATCCATGGTTGTTGACACAGCTGCATAAGGTATCAGCAGTACTCCAAAAGCACTCTCAGTTTCAGACTGGCCCTAAATCCTCAAAAGAAATCTACAAAGCCTCTGAAGCATTAACAATGGCAGGGTGGTATTACCCAGCCAGTGAAAGTTTTTTATAGCATCCCCACTTTCCCTACTTGATACTCAGCCAATGGTAGAGTGCTGATGCTTGTCTTCCTCTCTGTGCACCCTTCCTGCTGTCCTTTGAAGAGAGTCATCACAAAGGCCACTCACCCACAACACCTTCTAGCCTTGATTGCCTATAGCACCAAGAAATTGCCCTTGCTGCTGGCTGAGCTCAATTCTAGTTCCCCAGGACACCTATGAAACAAGATACTCACAGTGCACATATAAAATGAGGAACCAATTTATTGAACAACTACAGGAGGCAAAAATAGTGGACTTAGCTACATATTTTACACACCAAGGAAGAAAGTCTATGCCATTCAGTCCCCCCTTTCCTCTGAAATAGAACAGATTTGATGGGTCCTACACCAGGGATGGGATCGGGGAAAGAGAGGACTTTAGTTATGTCTGATTGAGGCCACTGAACAATTAACTGATCAAGTGAAAACCTGTCTTCATCTCCTGGTCAGTAGTACCTATGCTCCTCTTTATGTCCTTTGTAAAATGACCTACTTGATTTGAGCAGAGGGCTTCTATGCTTGCGGGCTGGGTTCCAGGCTGGCTATAGTAGCAGCGCCTGGAGAAACCACACTGACAGATGACAGCAATGACACAGCTGCTGGCAGGCACAAAGCCAGACTTTAACAGAGGCCGGACTCAGTGGCCTTGATATTTCTGCTGTCAGCAACTTGCTCCAGTGTCCGAGCCTCAGGAAGGACTTTCTATGTTTCTGCTAGCCAGTTTTTCTGAGGAGTGGGACAGCACAGATCTTTCCTAACTTGTCACAGCTATGCTGGCAGTAACAGCTACTATGCACATGAATGCATTCCAGAGCATTAATGGCGATGTCCCGTGGGGGTGCGGCACCCATCTGTGGTGAGGCAGGCATGCCATCTGCTTCCACTTTTGTGGCCGAACATGTCCATTTCCAGCACAAGCTTGTAAAAAAATACTTTAACAGAATATGCTGTACAGAACTAGGATTTAACACTGTATATTACAATGCTAAAATATTTGTATAAATACTATACAGGCATGGAGTGACTCCATTGGGAAGGGCTTGCTGGTGAGGCCAAGAAAGCCTACTGTCAGCATATCCATAGGGAAACATCCACCATAGAGGCAGGGAAAAGCATGGCTGCGCCGTCTGAACACAGGTGCATGCACACCTGGGTACAGTTCCCACTGGGCTACCTGTAGCAGCCCCATGGAAAGCACATCTTCCAACACTTTGATGGGAAATTTAGTTCTTTAAAAAAAAAAAAACCTGCCTGGTCCACAGATGCTCCTCTGCGGGCCTAATGGACAGCAGACATCACCCCAGGTGGGTCCCATGGGGAGGAGCACATGCCTCAGATGTGCAAACGGAGGGAAGTGGACTCCAACCTCCCTCACACACCCTGGCATCCGTATCTGTGGATACCCTTAGTCCCCTGCCACCTCTGTGTCCCATGGTGCGGAGTGGCCAATCGACACTGAATGCAAACAAGGCATGAGATGGAAGTCCCTGGAGGCCCAGCTCCATTCTGCATCTGGGGAGGGGAGAGGCAGAGGAATGGAGGAGTGTGCATCCCAGTCCACTCATGCTCCGGCCCCGCCAGTGCCCTTTAGTCTGGCATTTCAATATTTAATTTTGGAGGAGGGAGGACGTACTTTCCAGGACTCTGGGTAATGACCACTCTGGCCTTCTTGCGAAACATAGGAGCAATTTTAGGAGGTTCTGGTACCGGGGTTTCTTCCATTTCTTCATTATCTTCGTGATGGAGATCATAGGAAATGTTTCCATATTCTCTCAAAAATGGGAAAATTTCCAGCAGAAACTGGCAGAAATCTTTGCGGATACCAAACCACCCTGCAAAACAAGAGTTTTTTTTTTGTTTTGTTTTGTTTTTTCCTTTTCAAGTCTTAGGATTGGCTTGTGCATTACTCTCCTGTCCTGAATGAGAAGTGTATCACGTTGTCCAGATACCTCAGAAATAAATGACCAACGTATAAATGCTCAATAAATGCTCCATAAAGAGAAGAATTTGGACTTCCAGCCCCCAGATTCTCAAGGTTAAGTCTCAGACTGACAACATGGCAGCCCAAGACCCCCGTTAAGGTGGGGATTCTTGGGTCCTACCCCAAGCCTCCTAACTCAGAAATTCCCTTACTGTGGGATGGAATGGGGCCGGCAGAGCTGTTTTACCTGGTCCTCTAGGAACTCATGCTGATGATGAAGTTCGACAGTCCCTACTTGCTGTAGTAATTCCTGAACACCTATGATGCTTAGCCTGTGTAATCTTCCTCCAATCTTCCCCACCCAACACTAGACTCATGGATGATAAAGAGTAGCATCTAAGCAAAAGCTTTCTCTTACCCTCTCAAATCTGAGGAAGGAATTGGATTAGGCCAGGACATAACCCCAGGTTGCCAGAAGATCAATTTTCTGACTTCAATCTAGTGCAGTTCATAGCTTTGTGAGGAAGGGGCCCTCTTCAAAGATCATCTCAAATCTGCATGCCACATTGTGCCAGTGAAAAGGTAGTATGCTCCAGCTAAAAACAGCTAGCAAGACTTCCTTATAGAAAGGAGATAGGGCAAAATGGGACGTAGGCTAATTGGGGGACGCTAAGATTTTTTTTTAATCCATCCTTCCAAGCCTTAGGACAAACGATCAGAAGACTTAGTTTGCAAAGGAGGAAATGGGAGCTCAGACAGGTGGCTTGTCTCATTTCATCTACTCTCCAATCACAGTATACACTGGAGGCTAGCTGTGGTGTGTATCCATGTGTAAGATATTCCAGATGGTAAACTGGGGCCCTCAGACCTCATCCTCTCATAAAGTTCAGGCACACTCATCTGCACACCCCACCCAAGGACTTCTGAGAAGCTGAGTACATACAGTGGTTTCCTCCCTTCTGTCCAAATGTAGTTGCCATCAGTGTGATCAGCGAGAGCCACAGAGGAACGAATATTGGAATACAAGAGAAAGCATTGTGGCCATCCAACTTGTGAACCAGCAAAATCTAGAGAAAGAGACACACCATCAAGGTCCTGTTGCCGCATCGCTTAAAAATAGACAAAGTCACAAGCTGCCTCAGTAGGCAGCTCCTCCCCCAGCAGGTCTCTGAGGAGGGAAAGTCACCCCAGGAAATGGCCAAAAACCACCCATCCTGGCAGTTAGAATTGGATGAATTTCCCTTCCCAGGACCAAGCAAAGTCCATTGGCTTGCAAATTGCTCATCACTAGTTTTATGAGAAACTCCTCCTATGGTTTTCTCTAAGGAAGCATCAGTGTTGATTCTAGTGTGCACTGTCTACCTATTTACCTGTCTCCTTCCCACTGGGGAAAAAAGACTATGCTCTCACTGTGTTGACCTTCTTCTGGACCTTCTGTCCTCAGGTACCCACTGACATGTCAAGGGTTAGACGGCTACCATTTGAAGTATACAGGGCAAAGGTAGAGGAAACAGGTGGCTGCAGAGGCCAAAGAGGTTTCCCATAGAACGCTTACCTCAAAAGTAAGAAGAGGCACCACAATGGTCATCCAGCTCAGTGCCATGGTTATGTGTGTCCTTCGCTGTTCTGCAATCACATCCATAGAGCGCAGGAACAAGACAGACCACACAATGTAATAGAGGACCACCAGGCACAGAAAGGACATGAGGATCCACAGGGGGACACACACTACCTGCAGGGAGGAACAGAGAGACAAGAGTCAGAGATTCCACCACAGCCTCATGGGTGCCACTGTGATGTCAGGAATACATAGAGACAGGCCGGCTGCCATAAGAGCAACATGAAAAGCAAAATAACCACCATAGGGCCTATCAACAATCTCTCTTCCTTCACCTGGTAGCTTGGCATCTGAACCAAGGCCTCTGCATATCCTAAAGCCCTCAACTCACATATATTGCCTTATTCTTGGTCACGCATTCAACACTTGGTCTAAGGGACAATGAGCAAGTTTTATAAAAGAATGGGGGGATGATATAATAATTTAAAAAAACGATTTTGGGGCTGGGAAAGTGGCTCAGTGATAGAGCGCCTGTCTTGCATGCATGAGGCCCTGGGTTCGATTCCTCAGCACCACATAAGCAAAAAGAAAAAAGCCGGAAGTGGCGTTGTGGCTCAAGTGGTAGAGCGCTAGCCTTGAGCTGAAGAGCTGAGGGACAGCGCCCAGGCCCAGAGTTCAGGCCCCACGACCAGACCCAAAAAGACAAAACAAAAACACTATTTTGGTTGAGTGCTGTCTGTGCTGTCTTGACAGATGTGAGGTATCCATTCTCCTCAAAGGAGCCACGATCCTTGGTGCCCTGTGAGGTTACTATAATGTCAACAAGTTGGTTCTGACTAGATTTATTTCCTCTACGTCATGATACAATGAATTCTGAACTTGACAGCCCAGAAGATGTAAGATGGGACCTGAACAAGTACTTTTATTATTAATCTTTTATCCAAGCCAGTAGACAGAATTGATAAATATCTTTAATTTGGTAGCCTATACTCCCTTATTTTTTTTTCCTGGTTTCCCAGTAAGAAATTTCCCCTTTTTTGTGTGTATAGTATTTTTTTTTTTACTTATCTCTTTATTGGCAGTCCCTTGGGACTTCAACTCAGGGCCTTTCCACCGTCTCTGAGCTTCTTTTGCTCAAGGCTCGCCCTCTCCAACTTAACTTATGGCTCCACTTCTGGCTTTTTCTTTGGTAATTTGTAAGAGTCTTCTGGACTTTCTGCCTGTACTGGATTTGAACCATAATCCTCAGATCTCAGCTTCCTGAGTAGCTAGGATTACAGGTGTGAGCCATCAGAGCCCAGCTAGTTTAGGTATTTTTTTAAAGTAAACTATATTTAGCATAGAGAATATTTGGTGTACAAAAGTACATGACAAACAACAAGGAAAACAGAATCCAAACCACTTGGCAAAACCTAATATCTCAGAGGGCACTATAACTCTTCTGTCTCTGTTCCCACTGTCTGTCTATTTACTAGTTGAAATACTACTGTAACCTGTAATGTACAAATTGTGATTTATCTTTGTATCCTTCCCTCCAGACATCTACCTCCACAATCATTAACTGAAGCTAGGCTTGAATCATGATTTATGAGCCCAATTCCAGCAAGAATGTAACTTCATAAAGACATACAGGGTTTTTTTTAAAAGGAACATGTCAGTGCAGTACACACACACATACATATGGTCACACACATATGCACACACACACATATATTTAAGGATCTCAATGGAAGTGGAAGGGTGTTTCAAGTGAGAGTGCTTGGCCTTGAGTGAAAAAGCTAAGCAATAGTGTGATAACCTGAGTTCAAGCCCCAGTACTGGAATACACACTAAAAAAACTTCAGTTTACTTAACACCAAAATAACTATAGTTAACAACAATTGTTGAATATTTCAAAATTGCAGAGAACACTTTAAACATTTCAACACAAAGAAATGATAAATATCTGAGGGAACAGAGATTTCAATTACTCCAATCCGATTACTCGATCAGATCCATTACACATCGTAACATGTACAGGAAGTTCACAACAGATCCCTTAAATATGTACAGTTACTATATATCAATTAAAATTCAGAAAACTTAAAATCTAAAATTGTAAACACTGGCAGCAACATCTGAAACATTCTGAAATAAGGGAATGGTTTGATAAATTCAATGGAGTACTTTCCATCACTAAAGTCAGAAAGCTGTTTATTTACTTGACATGTGCAAATGCTTATGGTATGCTAAAACAAAATAGCAGAATACAAAATTTTACATGCAACATAATCCCAACTATTAGTACACAGGAAAGGAATAAACTAAACACTAGGTAAACACTAAGCATGTTATTTCCCAGTGGTGGGATAACTGGTGATTATTGGTCTATTACTTATGTTTGCCTGTCATTTCCAAGTTTTCTATAACAAATACGTTACTTTTCTATTTTAAAATGTTACTTAAGGACTTAAAAAGTTACATACAAGCCAGGGCCAGTGGATGATCTTGTCCAGTCTTAAGGCAATGAATATAAACTGGAGAATGTTGACAGAACACAGGATTTCTAACTAAAAATAAAGAGAAGAATCAGTTATCATAAAAGATATTACTTCTGCAGTTTTGGTTACACATTACCAGGCATGGCAAATTTTAATATAATAAAACTCAGACTATGTTACACTGGAAACTCCTGATTTGGAGCACTACATGAGCACAGCAGCTCTTTGATAACAAGTGTGCTGGCCTTCCGTCTCATCCTTCTGCCCAGCTGGTGCCCTGCTCCTTTTGCCACTAGAGGTTTGATCACTACTGACCCACAACGATGACCTTGTTTCCAGGTATATGGAAAAGAGTGGCAGTAAATACCCCACCTTCTGTCACCTCTCTCTCTCTCTCTCTCTCTCTCTCTGTCATCTCTGTTTGTAACCACCCTTGCATTTCCTTTCTCTTGGACCCAGGACTTGGCCCTATATCCTATATATCCTATCCCTTCTTCTCCACAGGTTACATCTAGCCATCCAGAACATCAACCCTTACCAACCAGAAACATGTTATCTATTTACCATTTGAAAAAAAATAACCAAGCCCAAATAAGCCTACTCTTTCATGATTCTATACCCTTCTTTTGGCTTAGCCCCTTATCTGCTGTCTTCCAGCTCTGTGAGACAGAAATGGCTAGGTGAGTCCCTATTGACTCAGCTGCCACTCTAAACCTCACCTATGACCATCCCAGTAAGAAACTGCCTTCATTAACATCTCCAATAACAGGAAACAACAGACAATTTCCACTTGCAGTTTCCTAGGTATCTTTGCAGCATTCACCTTGGTGAACGATTGCTTCCTTTTTGTTATCCTGTTTTTGGAGGTTCAAAAGTCCCACCACAAGCTGGACACAGCTGGCTCACGCCTGTAATCCAAGCTACTCAGGAAGCTGGGAATCTAAGGATTGAGGTTTGAAGCCAACCTGGGTAGGAAAGCCCATGAGACTATTATCTCCAATTAACTATGAAAAAAAGGCCAGAAATGGAGTTGTGGCCCAAGTAGTAGAGTGCTAGCCTTTAGCAAAAAAGTTCAAGGCAAATGCCCAAGCCCTGGGTTCAAGCTCCAGGGTAGCACACACACACACACACACACACACACACACACACACACACACACACACACACACACATACACACACACAAATGTCCACATCCTACAAGTGCTCTGACAAGTCTTTCTTGAGGTTTTTTTTTCCCCTCATTGAATGGCAATGCATCCCAGCACCTAAAACTCAATTCCCAATAGAAACACACACACACACACACACACACACACACACACACACACTCACTCATCACACCCTTGGTATTGGGGAGGAGTTTTAGCTTCACTCTGGCTTACCTGGGTACCTAGTGGTCCGTTCTCAAAAATGTCTCAGTGACAGATGCAGCTATTAAAGTGATAGTTGGCTCTCAGTGGTATCTTAAATGTTGTCAGTCACCAGTTGAGCTTGTTATCCTCGGTACCCTGCCCCTCTCCTTTCAATCTCCATAAGGCACTATAGTAGCTGGATTCCCCAAACAACAAACCTAGGAAGCACCTCCTATTGTATTCCTTGCACGCTCATATTCAGTCCAAATTTGATCCATTTTGCCACCCAAACTTCTTTTGAATCCCCTGCGTACTCTGTAGCCCTGACTGCTTAAGATAGCCCCTATATCACCATTCTCCTCCCATAATCCATTTCCCATGTCCAGTCGGTCCCTAGTTCTAGATGGTCCTTTGTTCTCAAAGGCATTCAGGGCACTCTTCCTTCTGGTGACAGTACCTGTCCTTATCCACAGAGTGGAAATGTATGACTTGGCTCAGAGATTACTCCAAAGTTCTCCATCCACAGTGCAATTCATGAGTCATTAGTTCTGATCTCTAGGTCAAAAGAAATGCCTAATAGCTAATTCCACTGATTTAAGAAATTAGTTGTAAATATAATATTCCCATCCTATGTCATTCTTTAAAACCTACAATTAGAGATGGGATCCATGTACCTGTTATGTACTATGCAATTCCCCAAACCCTACAATTATTTAAATAAGACACATCTACACTTATTATGTGTTCTTCATCCACATTTCCCCTCAACACTAGGTTTATATCACAGCACTTGCTGAGAACCCTGAATTGTAATAGTCTATCTTCTTGGAAAAGACTGGAGTATGACCTAACACACTATTTTAGGCTATAAGTCTGTATGATGCCTTGACAGATGTTAAGCGTCAGTTTTCTTCTAAGTGGCCACTACCCTTGGTGTCCTGAGTTCACTATAGTGCCTACAGTACCTTTGGCACATTTTGAAAGCTCAGGACATGGGCTTTGATCTGTCCTCTCGATGTGAAAACTCCTTTTGACCAGATCCCACACTTCCTTCTTACTACAATCAGCTCATCAGGCACATCTCAGCTGCCCATGTTACATCCCTGTCACTGTATATTCTCCTGTTTAATGTCAGAAAAGTCAACAAGGAGCTCAACTCAGGCCTACTGTTGCTTCTTGTAGGTGGGAATGACGAAAGTGTGAATATATGAAAGGTTCACTTTGTGGAAGTCATGCCTAACACAGAGCCTCCTCTGGTACTTACTTTCCCTCTCTAAAAAAAACCCAAAGTTACATATTTTCATAGGCTTCTTAAACCTGTCTCTCAGTTCCTGTCCAAAACAGTTTATAAATAAGCCTATCAGTGTTCCTTAGCCTGATAGCACTGATCAGAGTGAAAAATTAAAAATTAGAGTTACATTTTACAATTGCTAACTGCTGATTTTGCTTTTGTAAACTTGCTTGCGCTAACACCAACCCCCTCCCTGGAAAAAAGGAATTGGGTAAAGTCTCAGAGCCCAGATGTCGGCCCCAGGACAAGGTCAGTGGTCTTAGATAAAGAACAGACAGTACGTGTTCCTCAGATCCCATTTAGAAATTCCCCAGACAGGACCTTGAGATAAGGACCACCTGGCAGGACCAGCAAACTAGGCCATATGTCAACCAATCACAAGTCTGTAACTATGTGAACTCCCCTAACTCTTATTGTCCAAAGTAACCACCCCCCCCCTTGAGTCCCTCCGCACCAGTCATTTTACAAAGAGTGTTACAAAATTTCCCGCATGGCAAAGTGATTGTTGGTGTATATGGTGACCTTTAAATGGACCAATCATGGGATGCTTTGTGTTATGCATTAATCTTGTGGTTTTTGCCTTTAAAAAGGCTTGTAAGTGCTGCTCGGGGCTCTCTCCCTTCCAGAGGCAGAGAGTCCGTTTGCGCAAACTCCAAATAAACTCCTCTTGCTTGTTGCATCTCTGGGCCTGGAGTGTGAGTTTCTGAGGTGCCCTCCCATTGACGAAAGTATCCTAGGGGACTAGGGTCTTTCAAGAGGTGGTGGAGTTAGTAGGAAAATTAGTTTTTAGTGTAAAATTACTTTTACATGTCCCAAAGGCCTGGGGCATAGTACTGGTGTTAGGTCATCCCTCCTCCCCTTTGTGAAGGACAGCACATAGCCTTACCAGAAATCACCTATCCCAAACTGGTGATCACCTGCAACTGTTAATCACCTGACTGTAAGTCAACAAAAGGACCCTAGGTTGAGGTCACTTCCTCATCTACTGAGGTCACTTCCTCATTCACTAAGGTCACTTCCTAATCCTCTGAGGTCACTTTCTCATCCTGAGGTCACTTCCACATCTCATGCAGCCTTACCTCCTCTTTACCTTTCCCTACATAATATCTCTTTGCCATTAGTTCCTGCCCTTCACACACACACATCTACATTTGCTGCAGGCTGGCAGTGTGGTTCTCCCAATAAACTCTCTTCTGCCTGAACCACATGGCAGTCTCCTTTCACCAAAGCTTACAACCGGCATTTAACTTCAACACAAAAGGGTCAAGGTTAAGTGTCTTACAAAATATAGAACACTTGTTACACCAAAACTTTCTTACCTAGAATGTCAAGTAACATACTTCCTTCCTTCACTGAACAATGTTAGAGCAAATGTATCCACCTAGAACATTTCTGATTTCTGTGGGTTTTTTTGTTGATGTAAGGCTGTTTGTGTGTGTGTGTGTGTGTGCGCGCGCACGCGCGCGCGCTTGCGTGCGCCCGCACGTGCGCACTGCTACAAAGGCCTCAGGGCCTGGGCATTATCTCTTAGGATTCTACTCAAGGCTGTCAATCTACCATTTGAGCCACATCTCTAGCTGATTAACTGAAGATAAGTGTCTCACAGACTTTTTTGCACAGGCAGGGTTCAAACCACTACCCTCAGATCTCAGTTTCCCAAATAGGATTATATCTACAAGCCACCCATGACTGGCTTTTCTTGTTGTTGTGAGTTGTAGGGCTTGAACTCAGGGCCTGGGCACTGGTCCTAAGCTTTTCTGCTCAAAGAAATCTCTCTGCCACTACAATCACAATTCCACTTGTGGCTTTCTGTGGTTAACTGGAGATAATAGTCTTATAGACTTTTCCTGCCCAGGCTGGCAGTGAACCACAATCCTCAGATCTCAACCTCCTCAGTAGCTAGAATTGTAAGCGTGAGCTACCAACATCCAGCTAGCTTGGCTTTTTGGATGATTTTTAAAACTTACTTTTACTTAATTTGCTAAACTAGTAGAAACAACATGCTAGGCAATACTGGCACAAAGTGAAAAGGCATGCATGTATGCTTAGGTGTCTTTAACCTGGAAGAAGGATGGACTGGGGGGGGGGAGCTGGATGAGGAGGCAAATGTGACTAGTACAGAAATGGGAGATTAGGAATGAGAATTTAGGGCAACAGCACCTGAGGTGCATGGAAGTGCCAATAAGATCAAGTACAAGCAGTCAGTAAAGATACTGAGAAACAAAATGCTGAGAAAGGGCCCCTTGTAAGGAAGCAAAGGAAGAGGAACTCACGAAGGAGTACAAGACCAAGGGAGACAAAGGCTCTGTGTGATTCAGACTTTTTGCTGCTGAGACACACCTTATGAAACAACGTAGGAAGAAAAAGATTTATTTTGGTTTATCTTTTCAGAGGTTGCAGTCTATCATGGTGAGGAAGGCCTCGCGGAGCAATCAGCTCTTACCACTGTGGCCAGGAAGCAGACAGGGGAAAGTGAGAGAAGATGGAGATGGAGAACAGGAGGGGGGAATGTAAAAGAGGAGGGGGGAGAGGACAAAGGAGAGGAAAAGAGAGGAGACAGAGAAGGAGAGAAGGGAGAGGAGGGAGGAGAGACAAGAAAAGAGAAGAGGAGGTGGAGAGGAGGGGGAGAGGAAAGGACAGGAAAAAGTAGAGAGGAAAGGAGAAAGGATGGAACAGAGGAGATAAAGAGGAGAGGAAATGAAATTGGACAGGGTGATGAAAGAACTTGGAGAGGCTAGGGAGAGGAGAGAGGAGAGAGAGGAGAGAAAAAAAGTGGAGAGGGGAAGAGAGGAACAAGAAGAAGAGAGGAAAGGAGAGGAAAAGAGAGATCAAGTACAGAGGAAGAAAGGAGAGTACAGGGAAGAGGAGAGGGGAGGAGACACAGGGACCAGAAGAAGAGGATGAGGGAGGAGAGGAGAGAAGGAACAAGATCTAGAGCAAAAGGGTTGGAGAGGAGAAAAGAGGAAAGAAGAATGTAGAAGAGAGCAAAAGAGAGGATAAAAGACAGGAGAGAGTAGATGGACAGGAGAGGGAGGAGAAAAGGAGGAGAGAAAAATACAGGGAAAGCAAAGGAAGGAACAGCGAGAGCAAAGGGACAGGGTGGGGGGCAGGAATGAGGAAGAGAGGAAGAGAAGGGAGGGGAGAAAGGGACAGGGAGAGGATGCATGAAGGGGGACAAGAAAGGAAGAGGGGACATAAGAGAAGAGGAACGTAGAGAAGAAGGGAAGTAGAGGAGAGACAGAGAGGAGAGGGGAATGGTGAGAGGAAAAAGAGTGAAGAGAGAGAGGAGGGGTGAGGAGATACGGGAGAGGAGAGCAGGGAGAAGAGGGAGAGGAAAAGCAAGAAGATGAAGGACAGGGTGAGGAAGTGAAGAAAGGGGAAGGGGGATGGGGAGGACAAGGACAGGAGGTGAGGCTAGAAGAACAGAGGAGACTGAAGAGGGGGAAAGAGGGTAGATGAGAGGGATAACAGGGGAGAGTATGAGAAGGGAGAGGAGAGGAGAAAGGGAAGAGGGAAAAGGGGAGAGGAGAGAGAGATGAGAAGGAGAGGGAAGGAGAGGAGAAGGGATGAAGGGAGAGGAGAAGAGGTAGAGGTAAGAAGAGAAGGGAAAGTGAGAGGAAGTTCAGAAGTGTGGAAGAAGAGCAGGAGGAAATAAGAGGAAGGAAAGGGAGAAACAGAGAGGGAAAAGAAGGAAAACTGGAGAGAAGACACAGAAGAGAAGAGACAGAATACCCGTGCTCTCTGGCTTTCTCCTTCCTTTTAATTCCATCTAGGTCCCAGCCTATGTGTCTGGTAAAATCCTCACAGACATGGCCTGATCTCAGTGCTTTCCATAGAGGTCAATAAGGAAAATTAACCATCATAGGCTTCACATTAAGAGACGTGAAGGCAGTGCCTCTGGTGTCAGGAAATGCTCAGCAGTGACCAGAGCTTCAGAGCAGCCTGCTGAATACGTGGCCCACGGCAAGTATGCCAGGTAGTGGGAAGTCCACCGATGAGCAGGGAGACAGCATGACTTCTGATCAAAGGCTGGAAAGGGACTCACTGTTCCTGCTTTCTTTTATTTTGCAGATGAGAGGCAGTAAACTTGGTGCAGTGATTGTGACTAAGTTCCTCACCAAATGCTCATTCTCACAGGTCCCCAAAGAGGAAGGTAAAGAACAAGAAAAGACGAATAGAGGCAGAGGAGGCAAATGGCTCTAGAAAGTGGGGAGCTGTCAGTATAATAGATGAGGGTACGGAGCTGAACCAGCCCAAGGAGCATCAGCTCAGGGCTACTAAAACTTGCTCCCATTATAAACCCAGGAAGGTAAGAGACACTTCTGTTTCCTAATCATGCTTCTCGTGAAAATTTGATACTCCCAATATTTTGTAAGTAATAAACAGTATATCTACCTGGGTTTCTCATTCATAAAAAAGTAAGATTTTCTTCACGCCAATCTTCAAACCTGTTTTCATCCCTTGGGGGCCAGCAAGCTATAGTTAATACGGTTAATATGTAGTCTGGCTGCAGCTGGTGACCATAAACTTGGGGCTCAGTCCATGCATCATGTGAATTTCATCACCAACATGTGGCAGCAGCTACAGGAGAGCAGGGCAGAAATGTACCTGGACTTGTGAAGGATCAGGGAACTGCAGACAGACAAGAGGTACATTCCTCTATATTCTCCTGACCCACCAAACACACCTACAACATGGCTTTCCATCAGGTCCAGAGGTGTAGTCCTCCCGGCCTCATTCAGAGGCAAACCTTACCTGTTGCTCTGGGTCCGATTCCCTCCAACTCACAGGGCCTTGCTCCACCACTCTTCCTCTCTTTGGGCACCTTCCTTTCAAAACTGCACCTGGGGTCATGGCTCACTCTCAACTCCTAAGTCCCTTCCAGTCCAACAGCAAGCATTCTCCTTCCTCTACTCTGCTCTATATGATTTAGAACAAGGCATCAATAGTCACCCCTACTTATCCACAGGGGATATGCTCCAAGACTCCTACAGGATGAACTCCCAATCTTTTAAGTACTATTTTTGCCCAGTCCATACCCACCAATGATAAAATTGAATTTATAAATTAGGCAAGGGAGGAATTAGTGACAGCAATCATAAAATATAACAACTGTAACAATATACTGTAACAAAAGTGATGTGAGGGGCTGGGAAGGTGGCTCAGTGGTAGAGCGCTTGCCTTGCATGCATGAGACCCTGGGTTTGATTCCTCAGCACCACATAAGCAGAAAAGGCTGGAAGTGGTGCTGTGGCTCAAGTGGTAGAGTGCTAGCCTTGAGCTGAAGAGCTGAGGGACAGCGCCCAGGCCTAGAGTTCAGGCCCCACGACCGGACCCCCCCAAAAAAAGTGATGTGAATGTGGTCTCTATCTCTCTCCCCAAACATCTCACTGCACTGTACGGTGTCTTTTCAGACAGCAGTTGTCCAGGTAACTGAAAGCATGGAAAGCAAAACCACAGACAAAGGGGACTATGCTTCTAGTTCTTCTCTTAACCCATTACCACACAGCTGTGGGCCCTTATCTTACATGCTGTAAAATACACAGGCTTTGGAGGCAGGGAGACTTAATGAACCAATTATCTTTTCTGGAAAAAAGCTGTGCCTGACTCACATGGTTGCTGAGAACACTGAATAAGGTACTGCTCCATGTGAACTGCCTCTCCACAAAGTAAGAAGACAATAAATACTACCCACAATTATTTTCACTACTACTATTACTAGTCCTGAAATTGAATTCATCTGTGTAGCCCCTATTCTTAGGCAAAAGAGTGTATGGCATAGAATAAATACACAATAAATACTGAAGAAATGGCACATTAGCATAAGACCACCAAGAACAGATGTGGAGCCAGATCATGGGGTGTGTGATGGTGACAGTTAGTTAATTTTGTCTTTTTTTTTTTTTGGTTTTGCTGGTCCTAGTGCTTGAACTCTGGGCCTGGCTGCTGAGCTCCTTTTGCTCAAGGATTGTGCCCTACCACTTGAGCCACAGCGCCATTTCAAGCTTTTTTTTTCTGTGATTAATTGGAGATAAGAGTCTCACGGACCTTCCTGCCTAGGCTGGCTTAGAACTGTGATCCTCATATCTCAGCTTCCTGAGTAGCTAGGATTATAGGTGTTAACCACTAGTGCCCAGCTGAGTTAGTTTTATATATCCATTTGACTAAGTATAATACCTAGTTATTTAATGGAACAGTAAGGTACATCCTGCTGTGAAGGGACTGGCTTTATACAAAGGAAATTACCCTTGAAAAAGTGGCGTGGGTGGGCTTCGTTCAATCAGTTGAATGATCTAAGTGCAAAGACTAATAAGGTTCCTTGGTGAGGAAGATATTTAACATCAGAATTGCTGCATCAACTCCTGCTGACTCTGCAGCTTATCTGCCTGTTTGACACATCTCAGACTTACTAGCCCCATAACCATGAGAGTCAGTTCCTTAACAGTTTTGTTTTGTTTTTACATCTACATGCCTACCTATCCTATTGATTCTTTTTTTCTGGAGAAGCTTGATGGATATAGGTGGACTGGAAAGACAGAAGCTAAAAGAAGGCTGATGTCCTAGGGAGAAAATCAAGAAAGAGAACCATTTATTCTATTGTCATTTGTTTCCTTATATAGCATGAGCTAGGGTTAAAGATCAATCTGTTCCTAACAAAATGCAAGAAAACGACATTAAAATCACTGTTTAGGCTGGGCGCCAGTGGCTCACGCCTGTAATCTTAGCTACTCAGGAGGCTGAGATCTGAGGATCACGGTTCAAAGCCAGCGTGGGCAAGAAAGTCCATGAGACTCTTATCTCCAATAAACCACCAGAAAACCAGAAATGGTGCTGTGGCTCAAGTGGTAGAGCGCTCACCTTGAGCTGAAGAGCTGAGGGACAGTGCCCAGGCCTAAAGTTCAAGTCCCACGACTGACAAAAAAAAAATTCACTATTTACAGAACATCCTTAAAGACACCAATTCTCACCTCTAGTGACCTGTCATGTCGAAAGCCCCAGACACAAGCAGCAACAGACACAGGGGAAACAAAGAAGAGTGGCATGAAGACCAGAAGCCAGAAATGGCTTCCTCTCTCAATTCTGTCACAGACCAAGACTTCAAACATCAGCAGCAGCAAATGGATGCCCACAGCAATTAGCATGGCTTTAAACTCCACACATGTTTCTCCTTCTGCTCTAAAGAGTGACAGAAGAATGAAAACATCTTTAGTTCAGACCTTCCGCTGTAAACAAGCAATCCACAATAATACCAATTCAAGTTGGCACTTTGAATTTTACTTGGAAATTTAACAAGAAACAGAAGAAAATGAGGTAGAAAGCTACCTTCACCTAATCTTTAACAGGCAGTCTTCTTCCATCACACTCCCTTATCTCTCTCTGACATTGTGGTTTCAATTTAGGGTTTCATGCCTCTATCTCTTGAACCATGCCCCCAGCCCTTTTCTGTGTTATTTCTCTGGATAAGGTTTCATGTTTGTGCTCTGGGCAAGCCTCAAACTGTACTCTTACATAGCTGGAACTATAGACATGCCACCACATCTGTCTAATTGGTTGAGATGGGAGTATCACTAACTTTAGGCCCAGAGTGGTCTCAAAACCATAATCCTACCAATCTCTCTCAAAAGTAGATGGGATTACAGGCATGAACTACCATGCCTAGCCCAACGTCCATGTCATTCAATCATCAAAAAAACAGTATATAAGAAGAAATAAATGCAAGCCAAGTGCTGGCACAAGAAATACTGTCTCTATTGTTACAATCCAATAAATATCTCTTAAATCTCATGATGTTCATATCACAATAAATTCAAAACCATATAAATCACATTTCATGCAATGCTGTAATAATTGCTAGCTTTAGGTATGACTATGGGATATAGTCAATAAAGCACAGTGACACTGCAAGGTCCGACTTTAAAATGTAAATATATATATATATATATAAATGTATATATAGTTTTTAAAAATATTTCCTTTATTTCATTAGGATGAATTAAAACCTGCAGATGAAAGACAAAGAACAAAAGAGTTAATACTGTGTACAACACAATTAGTTATAACTGCTGTTTAAATACCATCAGGAACTTAATAGGCTATTAACTTAAAAATAAGGCCACAAATGAGAACATTGCTTTATAACACATTTACAAATCTATAAAGGCCTACAATGTTCACTGAAATTACAAATGAACATTTCTGAAATACCATTCGAATAGTCAGTCCACATGAGCTCGAGAAAGAAGTTATTCCCAGAGGACCTAATAGCATTTTACTAGTTAATAGGACCTTCCTTAATTTAACCAAATACATAGTTCCTTTCCTTACTCATCTTGAGTAAGGGAAAAGATTTTGAATCAACAGAGAAACAGATAAAATAGCTTTTAAATATCAATCGATGGAAACTAACATATTAATACTTATTGAGGAACAAACACAAAAAGAAAAGAAGTACTTCTATACAGGCAAACCATCTTTCAGGAAAAATAATCTAAGAATTTCAATCACTATCTATGTATGAACGGTCCTTAACTATTAAGTCTCTTTGTGTAGGTATTTAAAGTCCCTAGGTTCATTGAATAGCAATTTCTATTTTTAATAATGTGTTTACAATAAATGAAAAATTTTAAAAGTTGAGGTGGTCCTCCAACTTCTACACTCTTCCCATATGAGCAGCCTCATGAACCTCCCCCTATCCTGCCCACTGGCCTACTGGGCACTGCTTCACTCCTTATCTTAATGGTAAAGGTTTAGAAAAGCCCATTTTGCAGTCGTCCGCACCCTGCTGTCATGTAGTTTATCCCTTGAGGAGAGAAGGGAAAGACGTCCATAGAGTTCAGCAACACTGAACCCTCTGCCTTGTTTCTCAAAGCGCTGCCTTCTGTGTCTGCAGCTGGTTCTTAATTTTCCGCATTCTCCAGCCACAGTCCAAAGCACTTACAGGCTTCTGAAGACCACTCTGCCTCCTGACATCACTTCCACTCATAAAAACCCAGGACTGGAGAGTGGAGCCATGGGGACTCCAGTACTAAAAAGTAAAGTGGGGAAAGATCCCTCAGGGTCAAGGCTGGAAGAACACAGTAATTTCATGACTCTTAGTCTAGTACAACCTAATCAGTCTGTATTTGGGATATATTTTAGGTCATGTGTGGGCATTTGTGGGCTGGCTGAGTTCTGAATCACTGAAACATTGCTTTTAAAAGAAAATACATATTGATAAAAACAAGTCTTGAAAAAAATTGAAGAGATCTGTTTGCCTTTACAACACTTCTTGTAAAACCCCAAATAGGAAGAAAAGAAAATGACTCAATTTTTCATGAATGAGAGAAAACAAGATATTGTTCCCTCAGGATAGAGCTCAGAGGATTTTAAAAGTAACCTTACCGATATTGAGGATTTCGTGCCCAGACTCCAGTTCCAACTGAGGCTCCAACAATGACCATTAGCTTCCACAACCATATTGGGGCAAAGACAGCCCAATAACTCCACTGAATGATGCCATCCAGACGAAGGGCAAGCAGCACAGAGAATAGCAGCAAACAGGCATAGATGAGGAATTTACTAGGAGAAAAAGAAAATTACTCAAGAAGATGCATTTTTACAAACCTCATACTTAAATAGAGAGGGATAAAAGCAGTATTTTTCATCTCATAAAAACCACTAATTCACTGGGCACCAGAGGATCGCATCTGTAATCATAGCTACTCTGGGGTTGAGATCTGAGAATTAAAGTTTGATGCCAGCCCAGGCAGAAGTCTGTGAGACTCTTAAGTCCAATTAACTAACTACATAGTGGACATGTGGCTCAAGTAGTAGAGTGCTAGCCTCCAGCAGAAATGTTAAGGGCCCGCACCCAGGTCTTGAGTTCAAATCCCAGTACCAGAACATAAAAATAGGAAAGGAGGGATTATTACTATAAGCACTACTAATAATTAGAAGTAAAGGATACTATAAGCTACTTTATTGTCAAGGTAATTCAGTGGTGAAAGTATTATACATAGTGTAAAATTTGCCCTTTTATTGTACGTTCTTCTGAATTTTGACAGATACATATACTTGTGTAAATGCTGTCGAAAGATACAGATGTAGAGCAGTCCTGCCACTGCACCAAAGTCCTTGCTGCTGGACCAGCTAGAAAAATGAGAAAAATGCACCTTAACTGTTAACTTCACAGTACATACAAAAATTCCCGCGACATGGATGGATCACAAACCTAAATGCAATACCTCAAACTATAAATAGTAAACACTATTTGCAAGCTGAGCATAGGCAAACATTTCTTAGATGTGATATAAAATTGTACTTCTTCAAAATTAAAAACTCCAAAATGTAAGGTTAAGAAAATGAAAAGCTAAGCTACAAATCAGAAAAAAAAACACATTCTAAACCTATCTAAAAAGTACCTGTATCCAGTTTATAAGAACAAGTTTGACAACTTCACAACTTTTAAAAAAATTTTAAATGGGCAAACACTACAAAGGGATACATCATTATAGAAAACACACAACGAGTTACACAAGCACAAGAAAATACGACCAGTAGTTCCATCACTAAAATTTTACTGTGTGCCAATCATACTCACAACAAGATAAAATTATACAATCATTGGAAGGGTTCAAATTAAAATGGCTGACAGTAGTGCAGGGCCAAGAGGGAACTGTAACTCTCATATATGCTGGTAGGAACACAAAATAGTAGTCACATTCAAAACCATGTCAGCTGTTCCTTATAACTTTATTGCCCAGCAATCCCACAACTAGCTTTTTACCAATGAAAAAGGGAAATAATAACTCAAAGGCTTGTAACCAAATGCTTAAGTCATGAAAATCACTAAAAACAACCCAAACGTATATAACATAGTGAATCATTAAACTGTGATACAACCACTAGTGAATCGTTAAACTGTTTGTGATACAACCATTCAGTGAAATGCCAATCTGCAGTAGAAAGGAACAAACTAGAGCTGTACACACATGAATGGACCTGAAATACACAATCCTAAGTAAAATAACAATGAAAACACAACATACAACTTCATTTATTTGATACTCTGAAAAAGACAAAACTTTTAGACACAGAAAATAGCAGTGTAGTAACTAGTGGTTGTGCTGAGGGAAATCTGAGGAACTTTTCTGCAGTGGCAAAACTCTTCTATATCTGGATGGCATTTATCATATTTGGGTCTATCAAAACTCATACAACTATATAACAAAAAGGGTAAAATTAGGACTGGGAAGGTGGCTCAGTGATAGAGTGCTTGCCCTGCATGCATGAGGTCCTGGGTTCGATTCCTCAGCACCACATAAACAGAAAAAGCTGGAAGTGGCACTGTGGCTCAAGTGGTAGAGTGCTAGCCTTGAGCTGAAGAGCTGAGAGACAGCACCAGGCCCAGAGTTCAGGCCCCACAACCGGCAAAATAAAAATAAAAAGGGGGCAAGGGTAATTAAATCTAATGTATCTATTGATATACCTGCACATGTATGTAACAAAATCAGCACCTAATATTTATTGAATGTTTATGGAATGTCAGACACTAATCTGTTCATCAAGCATGATATCACCTATGGCTCAAGGCAAACCTATGAAAAAGGCACTACAATTATTTCCATTTTGGGAAATAAAAATTCCAAGCCAGGTGCTGGTGGCCCATGCCCAGAATCCTATCTATATTCAAGAAGCTGAGACATGAGGATCATGGGTCAAAGCCAGCCTGGGCAGGAAAATCCCTAAGATTCTTATCTATACTTAATCACCAAAAGGCTGGAAGTGGAGTAGTGGCTCAAGTGGTAGAATACTAACCTTGAGCAAAAAAGCTACGTGATGCACCCAGGCCCTGATTTCAAGCCTGAGTACCTACACAAAAACAAAAAGAAAAGAAAAAAGAAAGAAAATTACATTCCACAAGGAAATAGAAGCTTAATTTTTAAAGGCTTGTCCAAAGGCTCATGGAGTGGACATTCAAACTAAACATCTACTCCAAAGTCATTTTAATTGAGTACTAGGCTGTATTGATTTCACACTGATAAACATAGTTAGAAGAACATCTATGTAAGTAAATATACACTGAACACTTCATAGTTACCTCTTCTGGGGAAGATTAACAATGGTCTTTACATGCTTTTGCTTGGCATATCTTAGTTTTCTTCAAGGTCCAAGTAATACTTTTACACTGAAAAAATGACAGGAAGCTTCAATTGGATAAAAGTAAATAGATGTTGTAGGAGATGGAATGTACAAAATTAAACTCAGAGGCAAACCTCAAATGAGAGTAAAGAATATTATCATTGAATGGGTTTCTAATTATTATATATTATCACTATTTTATTATTAAATGTTATATTTTAATGCATTCTATATATTATATACACATATAGTTATATATAGATCTTGTGTCATTCATAAAATCAGGTCATCATTTGCATCTAATAGGAGATTATAAAATAATGGCTATGAAAGTGCTTTCAATAAAATACTACAATATAGTTTTGTTAATTCCTAGTATCAGGACTCCTTGACACTCTTAAAACTTAGCCCATTACATGAGCAAGGTAATGAGTACATTTCTTATCCCCTCTGTACAGTATTTTCACAATAAAAAAAAGTCATTAACAAAAAAAAAACCAACTTTTTAAGGTTAAAAAGAGGGAGAGATGTAGAAATAAAGGCAAAGTAATGGTGTAAATACAATCAAAACACATACATAGGTATAAAAATTGTCACCATGGAATCTCTCATTTTGTACAATAATATATACTAATAAAAATATTTTTAACAAAAAATTAGCCCAAAGACCTTTGTTCATAGCAGTTATCCCTACTGATATTTATCAGATATCTAAGTAGCTATTAAAAATTACTAATTAAAAGTAACATAAGTGACTCATGCTTATAATTCTAGTTACTCAAGAGTCTGAGATCTGAGAACCATGGTTCAAAGCCATCCCAGGCAGTAAAGTCCATGAGACTCTTGTCCCCAATTAGCTACCAAAAAACCAAAAGTGAGGCTGTGGCTCAGGTGGTAGAGTACAAGCTTTGAGCAAAGCTCAGGGACAGTACCCAGGCCCTGAGTTCAAGTCCCAGGACCACCACACAAAAAGAATAAAAGTAACATGAGTAAACATATTACATATTACCGTAAATACATTTTTTATCAAATTATTTTCCAAAACCAAATATATGCTGAAAATCTAGCTTTATAAAGACAAGTGGATAATGGTGAATATTCTCAATAGAATTACCATAACTCAACAAAAGGCAGCTTCTTTTTGGGGGGTGGGGTTGGTTGTGGGGCTTGAATTCTGAGCCTGAGATTTGCCCCTGGGCTCTTCAGCTCAAGGTGAGCTCTCTACCACTTGAGCCACAGTGCCTCTTCCAGTTTTCTGGTGGTTTACTAGAGATAAGAGTCTCATGGAGGGGCTGGGAAGGTGGCTCAGTGGTAGAGCACTAGCCTTGAGCTGAAGAGCTGAGGGACAGTGACCAGGCCCAGAGTTCAGGCCCCACTACCGGACCAAAAAAAAAAAAAAGAATCTCATGGCTTTCCTGCCCGGGCTGGCTTTGAACTGTGATCCTCAGATCTCAGCCTCCTGAATAGCTAGGATTACAGCATGAGCCACAGGTGCCCAGCTAAAGTAGCTTCTTTTTTTTTTTTTTTTTGGTCATGGGGCTTGAACTCGGGGCCTGGGCGCTGTCCCTCAGCTCTTCAGCTCAAGGCGAGCGCTCTACCACTTGAGCTACAGCGCCACTTCCGGTTTTCTGGTGGTTTATTGAAGATAGGAGTCTCAGGGTCTCTCCTGCCCGGGCTGGCTTTGAACCGCGATCCTCAGATCTCAGCCTCCTGAGTAGCTAGGATTACAGGCATGAGCCACCAGCGCCCGGCTAAAGTAGCTTCTTAAAGGTTAACTGCAATGTGAAGGCTGAAACCCTATCAATGGATTTTTTATACTCTGCAATGTTAAAATCTATGAGTCTCTTGTATACTCTGAACAACTCTTTTGTCCCTATGTGATTGTGTAATACCATGTAGGTCAACTGGAAAATATTGGTTCAATGTGTCATGAAACTCTATCAACTGATGACACAATTTACTATATAACAGCAAAATAATCATACTAGTTATGATTACTACCTATTACACTAGAAATGTTTCAAGCACTGGGAAGTTATCAAACTCATAGAAGTGGATACAAGTTAGAAAAATCTGATTCTCTCTGGAAAGCTTAAATTTATCATTTTTGTTTTTCCCATTTGTTTTTGGGTCCGGTCGTGGGGCCTGAACTCTGGGCGCTGCCCCTCAGCTCTTCAGCTCAAGGCTAGTGCTCTACCACTTGAGCCACAGTGCCACTTCCGTTTTTTTTTCTTTTTGCTTATGTGGTGCTAAGGAATCGAACCCAGGGCCTCATGCATGCAAGGCAAGCGCTCTACCACTGAGCCACCTTCCCAGCCCGCTTTTCCCATTTTTTTATTAGCATACTTATTTTTTTAGCATACAAGAAGGGCTTTTGCATCCCCAAACTCACCTCCTCAATCACTCTCACTTACTACTCACCTTCTAGAACAACTTCA